TTTTAATCTCACGCTCATCAATTGAAATCAAAGGTTGCAACATTTTTTGTGAACAAAAGGAGGATTTGCAATTGGAATTCATAGCAGATCAATTTCATCCCGACCATGTCGTGCTGCATCTTGGAAGACCACATCAGGGTTGTAGTACCGTTGCAGCACCGGTCCACTACCACCAGGGCCTTGCCGCCTCAGGGGACTCCGGCCATGAACGGCAGCGGAGCTCGAGCCCAAATCCATGGCGGCAAGGAGGTCGTGACGTATGTAAGACATGATTGAAGCAATCCCAAGGCCACTTGGTAGGTGGGGGAGCCCCTCCTCGACGTGATTCAGCCACGGGGAACGAAAAACAGGCGGATCTAGCCGCCGCCACCACGGATCGGGGACGGGCAGACGCGGGGGATCTAGCTCCCCTGTTTTCCTTGTTGTGGTTGTTAGTACACGGTCGCAACAAACCTGTTCTTTTTTTGTTGCAACGATTGCTTCGGTACAGGTATGCGCGCAGATCTGACGGTCAATGCAAACCGCATCGGACGGATGGGCCTTGACCGGCCCAACAGTTGGGCCGGTGCGCCGGCGCAGATCGCTGCCTATATCTCAATCTCATATCTGCTGCAGTTGTTTTGCCTTTCCACGCGGTAACCCTGCAAGTACTGCTCCAGGGAAATTATTTTGATGGATTTGACTTTGACCCGGAGTGCCATCCTCTGACTGTTTTCGGCGACACACGATAGTAGCCAGCGAAGGTTGTCCTTATGCAGGTTGCAGATTTGCAGTGGTCTTTGGACAATCAACACCTGGGTCGTGGTAGTTTGCTATTCAAGCATAGGACACCGGCGGCCCGCCAGAATAGATTTTTTACTTGGCTCACATGGCCACAGTAACAGATATTGATTTGTCTTCAAACTCGATGGATCGCCGGGTCACGTTCATCTGCATCACAACACGCAACCCTAATTTTCTCTTGAACTCAAATCTGAAAAATTGTGAACTTCTCGATCCCTGGGAGAGATCCCTTCAAGAACTCATCACCACCGTGCGCAGGCCCCATGGTGGGCGTCAACTGTCGTGGAATCGTCACGGCAGATGTCCTAATGTAAGGACTTAGTCGTGAGGCCAACGCATCTATGTGGTAACTTGAGAGGGGTTGATCGGGACGAGAGACGCAACACACAAGACAAGGGTTTAGACAGCTTCGAGCCCCGGGAAACATCATCCGGTAATAGCCCTACATGCTGTTTGTGGCTAGGTCTCATTATGCTCATGAGGGAGACGTCGTAAATTCGGCTCTCCTCTAGTTGTGTATAGCCTTAACGATTATTTTCTTGCCCCCCTCTTGGGGTGCCCCGCCCCTCCTTATATAAGATGAAGGGGCGGGTTACATGTAGAGTCAAACACGGATTAGGACTTAACCTATTTTGACATCTTACCATGGGCTTCTCACCATGGGCTTCTTAACGTCTTGGGCTTCTTAACGTAAGTCGGTTTACAATTCGGCTTACAATCTGGCTTACAATCTGGCTTAACTGTCTAACTTAACTGTCCGACTTACATGACTGTGTCTGCCGGCTTACAATGCTTGACTGTGTCTGCCGGCTTAACCTGCTTAATTGTTCCCGCTGGCTTATAGTCTGCCGGGTCACCAATGAAACATCAAGTCCCAGCCGGGTCATATCTCCAGCCGGGTCACACCGCGGGCATATCCCCGACAGAAGTAGGTGTTTATTGGTTCCCAATTTTGAATCGGTGGCCAACAATGTTTCAAGGAGCACTCCCACTCAAGTAAGGTGTTTAATTTTTAATACTCTACACTCTTTAATTTTAGAGTCCTCCCATTTGATTGAGGTGCTAGAGCATCTCCAGCCGCCCCCGAATGCCCCCCCATGAGCCCTTTTTTCCGCCGGCAATGTAAAAGGGGCGAAAAAA